GGAGCGTGTTATAAAAGACATTCCGTTTTTAGTAATATGAAAAGAATTTTTATGAACTTTAGGATGAGCGATAATTTGAAAATATTTTTAGATCGTGTTTAATGAACAATGGTCGAAGATAGTTTTGGACAATGACATACGCACTACTGCAATTAACCTGTTAATGTCTTTAGTTAGCGTTTCGATAGAAGAGGCGAAACCCGCTTTATGCGAGCGACAGCGATCGATTAATTTGTTCATTGAACTTTAATGAACGTAACCATAGTGCTAATAAGATATCTACTGCAAACGGTTCGTCTCCAACACAGGGTACATTACGCCCGTCCGAGATGATTGAAACTTCTTGGATCGGCCTCGCTGTAATTGGTATTTCGTATAATTAGTTGTCGTCGATTAGATTTACCTCTCTAAAACGTTGCCCTGGCTGTGTAAATATTTCAATGCACATATGATCTCTTTAAATATTCTCCACAAATCCATCTCGACCAAACAGAATTTTTTATTCACATTGCAAACTCTCCTTATGTATAACAATGCCAGGAACAAGTAAATATATTCGAAGACAATTATTTCACCCTAAAGTCGTGCACGGCGTGTGATCGATGACAAACAGAAGAAACTCCACGGGCATCCGTGCTGAACAGCTGACACAAAACAACCGGTCGTCGTACTTCAACCCAATTTCCCCGGCAACTCCTTCATCTCAATTAACTACGCCCTTGTCGTCTACGCCAATTTACCATTTCCAACGAGCTAGCAAGAGCTGTCTGTCCTTCGTTAAACTACGATTCACCTGACTGAATATGCCATCCTAACTAATTCCTCGACATTTCGTTCCACGACTATTCGTTCCACGATTATTCGTTTCGCTCTTATGATTTACTCCGTGTCGTTACGCCATGTTCCATAGATTCTTCGTGCTGACATTTGTATCCTACATCATCGATGCCATTATGTCAATTGACGTTATCAGCAATGCCTATCTCTGCCGGAATCACTTGGAGGATTCACTATCTCGTTTATCGCGGGTGTGCGCATACAAATATACCTGTGTTACACACGCACACGGCTGCAAACACGTGCAACATTTCATTCGACGGCGTAGCTACCCCTACCAGCCCTCGGAAACCGGGTACACTGAACGTGGACCCCTTGTCGCTAGACACTGCATCCGTATCTTCGTGTGTACGTATCAAGCGACGCCCAATAAATCCACGGTTTAATTAAACTAAGTTTAAACGGATCCCTCCTGCCCCTGGTATAAAGCAGTTATATGTATTACGTTCCTGATCCGCCGCTAAATCAATTATCGGAGTTACACAAGCGCCAGGGAGTGTCACGTGACTACACTTCGTCTCGGATGCCTCGATAAACCGTCTGACTTTTTATTACAAAACTGATTTTGATAATTACATAGGAACATATTTCGTCGATTTTATTGATTTTCTTATTCAGGTCAACATTCAGAGTAATATCGTTTATAAGTTTCAGATTCGCAGATACATATAAAAGTATCTTTTATATCATGTAATATATCTTTTAGGTTTAAATTCAAGTTTGACGTAGGCTTTGAGTTAAGTTTAGATTAGATAATAAATAGAAAAAAAAAGAAATTGCAATCTATATGTGATTTTATGGTAATTATATAAAAATTGTAGAAAAAAGGCATGACAACTGGACATTTCAGTGGAATTTCATATTTGTTTTAAAGTTCACCAATATAACTATGCCGATTGAATGTCATCACAATGCTAGTGAAGTTTCAACATGTTTCATAGAACACAGTGTACTCGTAAAAGATTCTAATACTTTCTCTAACCGTTATAATTACTCTGATTTTTATTTACAAATGCATTCGTCTAATGCTCGAAATATTTCCGTAGAACGCGTATTTTTTCGTTTTCCTTCGAAAATATCGTTTGGACAGTGAATTAACGTTCCCAGGTCGTTCAAAACGCCGAAACGTTTACGTTCTATCGATCGATCGTGTGTGTTCCTGTGTTCGTTAACGCGACGGACAGGAAAGATAATGTTTTGCGAACGATCGAACTGTTTCCAATAGAAAACAAGTCGATGAATATGCGTAGCGAACGATTGATTAAGCGGGGAAAAAGCGAACCGACTAGATAGAATAATTAAATGGTCACTCTTGCCACGCGCATCACGAATTCCTTCTGCGGACTAGCATCACGCTGGTGTACATCGTACACGATTAAGCCTAAGCCATTCGAACTATTTGCGCCGGTACATGCGATGGGAAGGGCTCGATTAAACAGATCACTTCCGTGGAGCCGGCACGTTACAATCGTGCTGCTGCCCTCCGGTTGCAAACGAGATGCAACCCCCTCCACTATTTTTCTTCACGAAGGAGAGAACAGTGATCTAGCGCGAAGCAACAGTTTTCCAGGAGAATTTTAAGAAGCCCATATATCACCGTATCAAACCTACTGCATTATTCAGGCTAATATATAACCCTAATAAGTACCGAATAGATTTCACTCGACAATTCGCGGTGTTACTAATGCACCTTAAACACGATGCAGAATAAATAGAAGTACGGTTACTTGGAAGAAAAGTGTACGTGAAAATAGAGTAAAAAGAGAATAACGCCCTTCGTGAATTACAGAAAGCGGTTTACCACTTAATGAGGAAGAAACAACATGAAATTATGTAGTTTTTAATAAAATTAATTAATGTATACGATCGTGCAGTGAGGCAATAAATTGAACGGCGTGGTAAGCATGGAAAAAGAACCGGAGGATAAAAAAATCTCGACTGCGTGAAAGGTATTTAAGCAAAAATGTAAAGCATCTGTACTCCTTCTTATCATCTAAGGAATGATTTTATTTCATTCGAAACTGATCACTAAGTATTATCATTCTATACCTCATATTACGGATATTTATGAATTTACGAGAATTTTAAATACTCAAATATGTACAGAATGTGCAAAGGTTAAATATTCAAAGTAAACTATAAAGCTCTTTTCCTTTACTTGTATTCAGAAAAATATAAATTTTTGCATAAAATTCGATAGTATAATCCAAAATATTCGGTTTTGCACCGGCTGTATCATTTAACTCATTCTTCAATACACAGCGATGGACGTATAAATAGACAAATGTTCACTCGTATATTCGACCAATTATGTTAAAAATATTTCTATTTTTTCTACTATAGAGGATTTAAACATAAACTTGTACTACTATATTTTGCATGACAATTAAAAACTAAATTAAGTTGAATTTAATATAACTTTCCTTATTTACGTACTATAACATTTTTAAAATTTCCAAAAATTACATAATCCTCTACCCGACTAAAAATTCCTAATTCACTATTTAACATATATTCTTTGATCTTTGTTCATCTCCGTAACCTCTACATTTGCGTTCGCCGCACACGCTTCTACATCTCATGTATGCATACAGTACGCCAAGTATTGATAGAGAGAAAGGGGCTTGGCTCTGTAACCACTTGGTTGAGAATACCTGATCGGTTCATTTGCCGCTGGCGAAGGTACAGTCACCCTGTGATCACTTGGCAATCCTAGTCTAACCTGCACTTGCTTCTTCCGCTACTAGAGACTCTCCTGTCCAGCAATTAAAGACAGTGCTTGAGCAGCACGGGCTAAAGACAGACACGCCGCTATTGACAAGTACAGGGAAGCATGTATGTATTTACGTGCATACACGGACGTCGAGTATTCAGCACAGATTCGAGAATGCGAGTCAAGGAGAAGAAGAGATTTAAGGGCTGTCTTTCTTGCTGCTAACCCGATGGACGTTTAGTGACGCGTTAAAGTAGACTCGAGTTGAACACGTGATGTCAAAGAGACATCGGTCGTAGTGAACATCGTATAAAAGCGGAACGCGATAGTCTTTGGCTGATGGATTCGCCCTGTAGTGTAAGGTAATTGAATTCACGACGACCGCTATCGAAAGAAAGGTGATTTTTATTGTCGGAACGTCGTTCACGAGCATCGAAAGAAGGCAATAGGATTTATAGTTTATAGCGATAGCGGCCGTGGCAACAAATGACGATTTTTATCTATCAAACTTTCTTTTCTATCGATGAAATTATACAGTACGGACGATACTTGATTTCGCTGAATCAAGACTAACTTACAGCGTCCACAATTAGAAACGAGGTGTGTCTATTATCTTAATTTCCCCTAATTTCTGCGATGATTAATAATTCACGCGAATCTCATGAACCGTGAGCAGGTGACCGGAAAATGTAGCAACAATATGCGTGTACGCGGCAATAAGTAAATATTACACAATCTCCACGGACGTGAGTCCGGGACGAAAGCTAGTCATTACGCATATTGATACAGTTTATAGGTACGTATGCTAATGAATAAATACCAATAATTATGCGAAGATTTTGGTTCGCTGTTGTTCCTACCGATTTTAACAGTTCTCCCTCCGGCATTTAATGAACTGTATTGTGTTAGAAAATTATTGGTACCGGCTCGTTAAAGTTTGGCCGATCCTATCGGACCTTTCTCGTCCCGCCTAAAATTATTCCCGATTGTATTTATACAATTATTGTAAACGTTCCTGATGTACGGATTACGCAAAGGAAAAATACAACTGTATACAATCAGCCAACCGTAGTGAGTATATTGATTCATGAAATTAGTCGATAAATGAAATACCATGAAATATAAATGAAAATGTTCCCCTTCTCTTATTTTCTCTAACGATTTCGAAATGTTTTTGACGATAAACGATAAACGTTTATCTACTAGTTTTTCCGCGAATATTATCGAATAACAGGAATATCCCGGAAAAAGTGATTCATTAAGCTGGCTATTTTATATGATTTGCTCAGATGATTTATGCAGCATCAATGTGTCACGAAAAAATAACGATTCGCTTGATTTATATCGAAAAATTGTATGATCCGCGATCATCGGTAGATAAATATTTACATAGACAGCCCCAGAATGGTGGACGCTATAATATCCTTTAGAAAAATAAGTCGTCACTTACTACTCTGTCTCCAGGATGCTTCACGAAGCAATTCAATTCCGCTGTTTGACCAACGATGGCAGTAACATTTCGTGGGGCGATGTCGTCGAAATCTGGCTTGTTCAAAGGTTTACTTCCGGCGACCACGCTCGCCAAGCTGGATCCACCTGCAAAGAGTATGGACAATACCATTAAGGAAATTATCTTTTCGTTGAATCTATTCTTCTTTATTCTAAAGATTCGGAGGGAATTCTATTGATTATTAGGTAATTGCTAAAACTTTCAAGGTTTATTATCTCACTGGGAAAAACTGATACGTACGTGTAGATACAAACGAACTTCGTATCGGAAAGATTAACTCGGATGTTGTTCCATAAACGAACGCTGTTTATCGATCGTTATGTTACATAGCAATTTCCGGTAACAGTTTTTGCTGTTAATATATCAGTGTGTGTTCCTTGCATCGTAAACGACACATACATCATATCGCGTCAAAATCAAACTACGTTAGCAAAGTACGTAATATGTGTGTATGTACGCAGTATGTTTTTTCGAGAGCATTCGTTCCGCCATATTGTATATTGATTCAATTGTATATTGAATATCTATACACTCGCGGTATCTTGATGCGATAATTTTTGCGAAAAACTTACCATAATTTCGATCGTTTCCACTGCATTCTCCCTAACTTCTTCCGTAGAAACGTCAATTAAAGTAGGCACTACACTACGCAATCGTTATTGCACGCGACCGACAACTAATACTACGCGCGAACGAGCGAAGAGGTTCATACCGAAGAGGTTGATTGCGCCGCACAGTGAAACCGGCAACTGAAGACGATTTGCGACGTGAAACCCACATTCGTTGTATATTTACAATTTTTTCTCGCGAACAGAATCTAGCCGCGCTAAATGTAAACATACCGAGGCCGAGACACGTTTAGTAATGACGATAGTTATACCTTGGCGTACCAGATGGCGTGTCGCGAGAAACATCCAAGGATGTATGTATGTATGAGTATATTCTTACCTATAATACTTGTGTATTCACATATATTGTAGTTTTAATCGAACTCTTTCAAAATGGTGACGTGGTATTTACACAGCTCAGCTAAAATCGAAGTGAAGTGCAACATATTATCGGAGGTAAGTAAATAAATTTGTAATTAAAGCACACAAGTTATTTAATAAACAACGATATTCAACTGGAACATTGATTAGCCTTTTTTACACGTAGTATTGATCTCATGATTCAATCGTCGAATATCTAAGTGTATGGTTATAATACTGTGATATGCAAACTATTCTTTTATGGTGAATTATTATTTTTCTATAATCCTTACGAATAATTTTACCAACATTTATTGCATCAATATCTTAGATCGCTATCTTGCACGAATATAAAATTCTGCTCGATCGTTCGTTTTTATTTCGATAATATAGTATGATTGTTACATTCCGTATCAAAGTAGCAAGTATTTTAATATTTATTAAGAGAGGCGTATTTATATTAGGTGCATCACCTAGAAATCGCAATAAATATTCCGAGAGCATAAAATTTCGCAGTTATACGAACGCAAACGGTGAAATTTTCCCGCAGAAGCGCATAAATAATGGAGAAATCTATTCTTATTTAACAAGGCGTCGCGGCAACAGAGGAGCGTGAGTATTTCTCGCAAAGTCAAAGTAAGTTGGATGAATATGGAAACTCTTCGAGCTTTACGTTCAAACGAGGTTAGACGATGCAGCTGCTTTGCAACATCAAAAGTTCTACCTCTTGAGTGAGCTGGTTGTTGCCGACTCGCTTTCTACCAACAGAAATGTATACACACACAAATGCACACACTGACGCGCACGCGGGTAATTCTAATAAGCACTTGATTAAGGATGAACTTCCAGCAATACTAATGCGTCACGGTATTGTGTATGGCCGTGGTACGCAATCACGGTTAACGTTCATGAAATACCGTGTTAGTTGCACCAGGACAGCCCATCGTCTTCTTCTTTGATCCACCGTTAATGCAAATAGTTCGCCAACTAATAATTTCGAGAATGCCTGGCTTCCCTGTGGCATGCTTCCATCCCTGCTTCGCCCTTAGCCTCACTGACCTTCGATTTAGGTACACGAAAACGGACTCTATCGTAATTTCATCATGAATGCAACAGTGAAAATAATATAACAGTACGATCTTGTATAATAGGTAATTTGTCAACTAATCATTTAGTATAAATACCTCTTTTACAAGTTTGTAATTTTTTATGCTATTTTTTGTCAAATAGGTCAGATAATGTATATTTTGCAAAATTTAATTTTAGAATTTGATTCATTTCATTATCAAGCTTGTCACTGTTATGCAAGGGTATTTATTAATATTTGTAATTTGAAACCTGTGGCTTGTAAAATTTTATTAATAACACTGGTACAATTGCGTGAAAAGGCTCTCATGTGAGAAGTAAATTATTTCAACCTACAGATACAACCAGTTATAAAAGTTTACATGTACCACTTTTTGAGATATCATGAAAATGATGTCAATATTGTTTTAACAATATCTTTAATATTAAACATTCTATTAATTAAACTCAGATATGTACTTTAAATTTTGAAAATAATTTTACAATTTATTTGACATTGACAAAATTAAAGATTGAGTAATTACTGGTGTAATTTCGTTTCATAAATTCTGCGACTTAAATGTCTCGTGTTCCTTTAATTCTTCCCGGAAATACGTTAATATACTGAGCAAATACAAAGCCACTTTATGCAGCCATGAAAATGTACACGGTTCTCTGGCGAAATAAAATAATTTGACCTACATAAAACTCAGGTTATATGCAGACTTTTGTCACTGGTTGTACTTGATCTCCGATCAACATAATTTATGCTTCGCATTATGATGACGTTTATCTCGCTAACCACTTCATTATACACCAGATCAACGTGATTTGGGCGTGAATGAAGTTTCGTTCTTGGTCGGATTAAATAAACGCGTATGATATATAGCTACCGTGTCATAATGGCGCAACAGTCACTTTCACCGATCCTTTCCATCTCGGATTTATTATTGGAGTTTGCCAAATGATATATACCGAAGAAAGAAAAACATTCTCATAACTCAACAACCATCCAACGATTTCAGGGGTCACAAATGGTGACTATTATCTTTCCGCCGAATTAGGTTACGCTGTAGCTGATTTATATGAATCACTCGATTCGCCATTAACCAGGATTTCGTCGAACGCAGAGATGAGGGAATCGCCATTAACATAATCCCGTGAGAGTGGGTGGAAACGGTGGAAAAACGGCGCTGTGTCGAACGAGGCTCGAAACGGTCGACGGGGGTTGAGGGTGCGTTGAACGCGAACGGAAAGAGTGAGACAGAGCTATGGCGCTCGATAAAATTTCCCATTGTGTTCCACGGGTAAAATGGGATTTCGTCGGGGCAGAAATTGAAATTGTTACAAGGCAGACGCGAAATTGTTGGAAATCGCTCAACGATATCCCAGACGATATTGATATGCGTTCCGGGGAAGGAAGGAGTAACGGAAGGGATTGGCAGCCGATAACGAAGCGTCGACTAGTTGTCGTGAAATTAATTTACCGTCACGACCGTCCATCCCTCGCCATGGTCATGGTTGTTCGCTACTATCACGGAACAGTCGATTTAATGGTGTCCCGTGGCAGGCCGATGAAATGGAAAACCTGTAAGCGTCCGGCGAAACGAATGTCGATGGGACGCGCTATTGAGCACCACGAGGAGAAATTTTGCTCCGCACACGCGGAAATGGACCAAAAAGAGTGACTATCGATCGGATTCCTGCGCCAGGGAATACTTGGGAAGATCGTCGATATATCAGAACTTGACGTACGAACCAGACATAGAGATATCTTAAAAATTCCAGAAATTTTAGTTTTATCTGTCTTCTCTCCTTCTCTCACTCTCTTCCACTCTTTCTATCTCAGATTGAACTAACATGAGAACCGACAAATTTATGTAAAAAGAGGCGTTGGATTAATTTGTCTAATAATCTGCGGTGCCAATAACTTATGCACGGTAGCGCCTTTTTACCTTAACATGTTCGTATTGCGGTCCGCCATTTTTAATTTCAAGGTGAACGAATAAACACACGTCTGATCCGGGAGAACTATCGCTGATTCTCGAAATAGGAAGTTATGAACGAACGAAGAAACGAGCCGGGACGATACGCGAGAAATATTCTTTACGCGTTCCTCCATGGTGCGTTTATTCAAATTTATTCAAATTTGAATTTATGCGGGCAGTATCTGCCACGTAGCACGCGTATGAATGCCGTCGATTTAAATACAGCCAGGAAAATCCGGAGAATTTTTCCAAGGATACTATATGGCAATCTTGCTCTACTGGTTATTCTCGATTTTTCTCTGCCCACAGAAACGATAAACAAGGAAACTGTGTTTTAAACAAACGTGTTCCACAGGGTCCACCGCAATCTCTGACCGTTTGGTGATTCTCCAAATTTCGGTGGCTTCTAGTCACAGCACGTACGTTCAGTTATTTGATCTTCCCCTTAGATTCGAAGTTGGCCAAAAGCACGGCCAGCGATACCTTTCGACCCGCTCCTATCGTTTACCTCGTCCGTGAATTTAGAGTCGTCCCGGAAATGAACGGGGAAGAAGCGGGCTAGAATGGAAAAAGAGGGACGGGAGAAAGGAGGAGGGTGGTCTGAAGTAATCAAAGGAACAACGGAAAGCCTCGTACCGTACCGCGTCGCGTGGTGAAGCAAGAGGAAAAAAAAGCGCAGTGAAATTATGGTGTAATACCAGTCAGCGTACGTATTCTGCTCTGACACGCAAACCGACCCCTTAAATTCGTCGGTTCCTTCGTCCGTGTTCGTGCCTTGTAATTTCAATGGAATGCATCACACAGAGATAAGAAATCGTAATTGAAGCTCTGAACAATGCTCGCCTGCAATCTGACGTAGGAAAAATCGACGAAATCTAGAGAACCTCGCGAAGTTCTGCTTTTCTAATGATATAAACTCTGTCTCTCTCTCTCTCTCCCTCTCTCTCTTTTTCCGCATTGTTATAACTTTTTCCAAATGAATAGTTCCAAGTTACGAACAAATTTACTTAGTCCACGCGTTTTCTCTCTTTCTCTTTAACGATCGTTTCAAAGGGTAAATACCTG